ACTTGGATTTTAATAATAATGAGTTATATTTTATATTTTAATAATTTTTAGAGTTATATGAGTTATATTTTAAAAAATTGTGAACGTGAATAACGAGTAAAATATTCGTTAATTTCGACAACGCTGGAGTTATGACACATTATCCCTTCTTTGTTTCCACACTGTCAAGCTTTAATTCAAAAGCACAATTTAATATTATTAATTAATTCTTTTTTATCTTTAAGCTACAGTGTCAAATTTAAGTTTTTAAACTTTATCCATTATGAAATATTGTTGAATATCTTAGAACAGAGAAAAATCTATCGCGATACGATAAAGTTGCGCTATGGCTTCGTTCTACAGTATTTTCTAATCTACAATGACAGTAATTTGTATTTGCTAAACGTTTCAATCATGCAAACTTATACGTTGTAAGAACACCAAAAACTGAAATAAATCTTATTTAATCAAGAACCTTGATTTACATTTGCATATTTTTATATTTGTCCACGTTACGCTGTAGTGGTACAAGGACTGTCTGCGATACTGTTTACCGTTTCAGCATCATCTGGAAGACCTAAGCAGTAGCAAATATACAATTCGCAATAACCCCATTATGCACCTAATGCACCGCATCTATCGCGGCACTTCTTGTGACCGCTTTCATCAACTTTACAGGTATATAAACACTTGTTTTTGCTGACAAGAATTCCATTTATGACAGCGTCTACTTCAATTTTCAAAACTGAAATTATGCGAATGAGTAAACACTATGACTTAGTCGATCGTGGTGCAGACTTGTTATTAAAATAAGCAAACATACACTTTTTTGCATTAAAGTATAATTACTTAGACATCAGCAAGAAGTAAATAATCGAAAATTGGACTTACATATTAACAATATGGCTGCCAGAATAAATATCTTAAACATGATTTCGGTTGTTTTCGATTATTTCAATGTGTAGAAGCATCGACATTTTATAGTAAAATGGTTATTATGTGATTTGACACCAGGCATGCGCATAATAATTTACTTATCACCTGGCATGGAGTGTATAGGTTTACAACATATGGCAATAACATCCGCCATCTTGAATCGTAATACGATGTGTGTTGCTAGAAGCCATAAAAACATGTAAAATTAAAGTGTATTTGAAATATTAATCAGTAGATATATCGTTAATCATTTATGCATGTTTTTATATAACTACTGAACCAAACTAGATCGTAATTTAATGATTTAATCATAACTAACAAAAAGTGCTTTATTTGTTAATAACATATTTGTCAGTAAACATTTTTATTGTCATCGTAATGATGAATTCCACGAGAATCATTTCAAAGTTATTTTATTCACTTTTATAATTTTATAGCAAAAGTTTGGTGGAAACCATAAAACAGTTAAACGTCTGAACAATTACAGCTTTATTGCTAACAACTTCTCTTCTGTTATTATTTCCGCATTTTAAAAATCATTTTGAAGTTTTATTTCTGTTTCGTTTAAATATAATTTATAGAAATAAACTTTCTGAATGATTGTTCTAACTGATAAATAATTTTTATTTTTTGTTTTTTTTCCAATTATCGGAGAGGAGGAAACTAGCCTTCATTTGGAGATGGAATTAGACACGCAAGAAAATCCGGTAGAACTAGGCGACAACCCTTTGGTGGAATAGAATTCCGTCACTAACTATCACTGTTTGTACATAGAAACGGTTAAGCAGAGTGCAGCTACACTCCTCTTCTGGGGTTTTGTCGATTATAAATGGGTGCCTAAAATAATAAAACGTTTTACAAGACATATTGTTACATATTGTTCCTTTCACTCTTTTAAAGCTCTCTGTACGCATCTAAAAAGGTTTTTCATGGCATACTTCTCTGAAATAATTGTCCATAAAAATGATTGAAGTTTTTTAATTTACTTCGGTACAAGGCTACACAATATAACATGTTAAGTTTGAAAATGTGTTGACCACGATGAATCTAATTTTATTAGTATAAGTAAATCGCAAAAGAGCTAACCTGAAGTAGTTGAGAACCTCATCCTGTCCAGTTAAAATTTGTTAATTACAACATACTGTATGGACTACAAAACTTGCTTAATTTAACAGTTTTACAAACGGAAGAAAGACCAAGAGAGTGCTAATTTGATAAGAAAAGTAATATTACATATTAATGTACGATTATGATTACTTTTAATTTATCTTCTAATAATAATTCACAAAATCTGGTATCAATTATTTCCCTCATTATACATAGAAGAGAAACTATCATTATATTTTATTTATTAAACAATTTATCTACATCAAACTTTTCTGCACCTGTTTTTCTTTACTCTGTATGATTATCTGCTATTTATAAAAGTATAAATACTTAAAATTTCTAAGCAGCTACAACTGTTTGTTTTAAAAATATAATCATGTTGAAGTCATTTATCTTTGCATCTTTACTTTTAATGTGTAAGTTCTTTATATTTTAGTTAATATTTTCTTAGTTATTATGATAATATGGCAGTTTAATACTCATTTATATATGATCGACACTATTTAAATTATATATATTTACCTACAATCACCACAATAGCCGTTATTGTATACAGAGATAGCTATTTATAATAGGTGTGCTTTTTTAAGTTTAATTCATTTAAACTTGTTTAATATCATCGCATTATTGCCTAAATTTTCTTAAATGAAAAGTACTTTTGATTCTTTTCGTAGTTTGCAAACTTGTAATAGTGGATTCACTCCTCTTTTTATTTCTTTCACTTGTATGCTTGCCTTCAGTTATAGACTAAACCAGAGTTTTTCAACCTGTGGGTCGAGACCCCCAGGGGGGTCACGGGTATAAGAAAAAGACAAGTGTTTGTAGGTCCTACACTACAATAAAACAAATACAATATCAGTGAGAAGACTGACTGTGCCTGTTTATTTTACAGTACAATTGGTTTTACGATCGATATTTAGGGCTTAACAGAAAGAAAATTAAATACGTAGTTTTTAAAATCACTGATATAGTTTTAATATAGCCCTGGGGGGTCGCCAGAATTTTTTAACTTGTAAAGGGGTCGAGGATTCAAGAAGGTTGAAAAACACTGGACTAAACTATAAACTAAGGGCAATTTTTACTTTAGTGCACGGAAGATTTTCGATGTAACAGCCAATAAACTATACATTTCGATAATATGCAATTTTCGCATTCTCTGCAGGTATCAAAGTGGACGCAGATGATATTCCGGGTGGATATCCGATAAATACATTTGGTTGTATTTATCCGTGTTATTATGGGCCAGAAGAAGAGCAATGCAAAGAATTCTGCAAATACTTAGGGGGATCATATGGATATTGTTATTTCTACGCTTGTTACTGCGAATATCTCCCGGAAACTGTTCCGCAACTCAAAGAGCAAAAATATTTTGGTTGTTCCAACGGACAATGGGAGATAACTACTACAGAAGAACCTTGACCGTCTTTACTCTGAAACAAAAATTATTAAATTTTCTGTTAGTGAAACGCTTTCCACAAACAGTTACAATTGTTAATTAATAATAAAAGAGTATGTAATAATTTATCGAAAATAAATCTAAATTTAAAAACTGATAAATTAATTATTGAATTTAAAATTTTTAAGACTTATTACAAATGATTCGCTATTATCAATTTAACATTATGCTTAATACTTATTATGTGTTATAGAATAATTAAAAATACTGACATTACAAAAGTGATATGAAAAATAAATTGCATTTTCACAGAATTTTACACACATTACTTCAAAACTTATCCTTAAAATTATCTTTTTCTTATAGTAATTAAAACACATATTATTTATTGTATTTATTCACACACTTGGCAAATTTCATCATTAAATTTTATTTAGTTAATACGTGTTTATTTCATTTGTACACGTTTCGGGCATTCCTTGCCCCTCTTCAACCAACTAAGATAAAATTTCACAAGTTACAACGGTATAAACAAACATATAAGATTATCTTTTTTTAAAAAAATCATATCTTTTAAATTACAAAAAGGAAAAAAAAGCTAAAAGTTATTTAGGCTCCATTCACTTACACATTAGGATAGTATAACATGTGATGTAGTGTAAAATAATTCTAATCAGATGCACCGAGAACATAGACAAGGCATAAGAGGTTAAAGGAAGTGAGTAATTCTAACAAAAATTAAGATTACATATTTCCTTCAACTTAAAAAAATCTTGTAGTTTTAGATC